AAAAAAAAAAAAAAGGAGGGGGGGGAGCAAAGGGAGAAAGAGAAACCTGAATCTATTAACATGAATGTTTTTGTATCCGTTACTAGTTTTAATGCTTTTTCATTGGCTAAGGACTACCTGGAGGTAGTGTCAGTGTGTAGCCATTGCGGAGCTGCTCTGAGTGGCCCCCTTGGCTAATGCCTTCCCTCCTGCCCGGCGTGGTTTTGGGCAGCAGAGCCCTCGCCCATGCAGGGGGTGCTTGTCCTGGCTGAGATCAACTGACCTGCTGAGCTCGGTGCTTCTCCCCTTCGCTGAGGCTTTGGAGAAGTACTAGGGAGTCGCAGGGTGGGCAGCAGCAGGGCTTACACTGGGTGCAAACTTTTCCAGCTTAGGTGCCATGACCTCATGAACTGTTGGGTGTCAGTGGTGTTGTCAGCACTGGTGGATGCAGGGTTTGAGGTTAGCAGTACAGGGACTCACGTGGTTCAGCTGCTCACAGGCTCATCCAGAGAGCTGAAATAACCAGCAACAGAACAAAGAGCTTGAGGGTTTTAAATTCTTTCAAGCAGATTTTGGTTCTAGATGCTTTCAGACTTTACATGCTTGGACTGGGGCTCAGGTCCTTCCTCAAAACTGAGAATAAGCCCAAGAAGACACCACAGTGCAAGCCTAACACTCACTGGGAAAGAAAATCCCCTCCCGACTGCTAACCTGGGCTGGGATCCTGGGGGTTCAAGCCACACCAGAGCCAGCTGCCCTCCCTGCTTCACGTTGGGGGCTGTTGTAGGGCTAGTAATTATGCTTAATGGGTTTTATTCCTGTTTGTAAGAAAAGTCAAGGTGTCTCTGGACCAGCTCTGGCCCCTTGCCCTCAGCTGGCTCTCTGGGTGCTGCCGTGGCCAGAGAGGCTCAGCCAGCGCCCCAGGCATCGGTGATGCTGCTCCCGTGGGGCAGTGATCACACAGTTCGACTGCTCTGGGGATGGCCTGTTGCTGGGCCAGTGCAGGCTGTCACAAAGACTAATGATTTTTTTAGCTAATGTATGATTCGTTGCGGGAAACGGCCCTCTCCTGCAAGTGCTGGGGGATCTTCCCAGGTAACCTATGCTTCCTTAAGCTCATTTTTCCCCCCTCTTCCTTCTCTCTGCCAGAGAAAGAGGAGGATTCCCAGTCCTATCAAAATGTCATCATTGGAGTGTCTCATGGCTCTGATATGGGTAAGTATGTTGCTGTCGTGGTCCGTGTGCGTTGTACAAAGGTATCTGGAAGTGCAGAGGACGTAGATCTGCTCAGTCAAGGAAAAACCCCTTTGCAGGCTCAGCTCTTCCTATCAGCTCCGTGCTGGTGGAGCTGGGGTGCAAGGGCTGCCGCAGGGACAGAGCAGACCTGGAGCTTTCCTTTCTGCAGGAAAATGCATGTGGTGATGCCTTACCACTTGTGAGCTCACCTCTGAGCTGATCCCTTTGGTTAGGAGATCTCTGCAGCAATTCAGGAGTGTTGGGGTCCACATTGTTTCTCTAGGTCTTGCAGTGTTGTTACAGCTAAGACTGATCATGGTTATAGCCCCCAGCTCAGGTGTCTCCCCACGTCTAGCCCAAGAATGCTGCAGCCAGTGAGCTGCTGGAGGATGACATTGGACCACAGTGCCTGCTTAAGGGCTACCAGCTTCTGTCCTGGGACGTTGCAGTCAGAATAGGAAGTCAATTTGGTTTCCTTCAGGAAATTAACACAACGCTTTCTGCACTGGTGAAGCCTGCCCTGCTCCTGCCTGCCTTTGTACAGAGCGATTAGAGGAGGCAGAAGCAGCAGGGACCATTCTGATCCCCGTCAATGCCTGCAGATATCCAGGCACGTGGTCAGGGCTGGAAAAACGATGAGGCAGCATCAGCAGACCAGCAGCAGGACAGCAGCCACCCGGCTGGAAACTCAGCCACGTGCACGAGGCAGTCGGGGTGCAGCGGTGGGAGGGGGGTTTCACAAAGGCCCATTTTTATTCCATTTGCTGTTCAGCATCATCCTGTCCAAACTTTTCTTAGTCACAGATGATGCTGTAGACTATGAGAACAGTGCAGCGATACATATATGGAAACTCCAGCAGACGGAAGGTATGTTCTCAGCAATTGTTCACTATTTTTAGGGATGGGGCTCAGGGGCAGGGTGTCTGTCACGCTAGACCGGCATAAGCCACGCTCAAGGCAATGCAGCCATTGCTCCCATCTTGAATTATTTTTCCCCCGATCCTTCATGATAAACATCTAAGGCAAGGTGCAAAATGCAACACACACTTGTAATTGAATGCTGCTGTGATGGGATGTGGTGTTTCTAGTACTCAGAAGGCCACCACATAGGTGGCTGTGCCTAAACCCTGACCACGGGATGCTACAGAAGAATGTCACTCTTCATGTCTTATATCCTCTTACATTTTGAAGTTGGCCTGGCACAAGCTCAGCCTTGTAATCCCCTCCAACAAAGAAATGTTCAGCACGCACATCCAGTGGGTCAGCCTGGGACTCTCCCACAGTAATCAGGGCTGGATATTTCTTAACCTAACCTTTAAACAGAGTTTAATCTAATGTGTGGCTGCCTGTGAAGCACAGCAGGTAGTCTGGCCTGGGAGATAGTGCTGGATGTATACATATATATTTAAGAGCTTTCTGTCTCTGGTGTGGAAGCTGCCTAAGCAAACTGATTCTTGTCATCCTGTTTGCATACTCTCTAGATTAAATCTAAGTCCATGTCTTTTGGCTCTGCAAAGCTGTCCACACGAGCTACTCACAGAGCATTTGATATTTGCTGTGAGCATTTTGAAGCCCCTTCAAGGAGATCTTGACACTGTCGTCTGAGGTTTCTTAGCCCAGGTGCAAAAATATGTCAGCACTGAAGACTAACTATATTGGCAGGACGCAGAGCGTGTTTACGGTGTGTGTGTGTGTGTGTGTTTTTAGATCAACCCGCTTACTGATCAGTGCTTCCCATCCTCACTCACAGCTCTGCAGAGAGAAAGCCCAGATGATGAGCCAGACTACATCAATGCGGCCCCTGCATCAGGCCCTGCCTTTCTGTCAAAGCAAAGGTAAAAGGAGAGCAAATGGTCGATGTCGTTATTAGAGGTGGGAGGATTGTGTTTATGCTGAAGAGAGCTCAGCTGGAGCTTTGCACCTTGCTGACAGTGCCAGCCGGTGCCCAGCAGCCCACACAGGCCGTGCAGGGAGCAGGAGCAGCTTGCTCCGTGCTGTGCCATGTCTCTGGCTGATGCCAAGCTGACTAACGCAGATTGTGGAGACAAATTTGTCAAAGTCCATGTCCTAGCGCTGTCCTCCTCCAACAGGAACTTAAAACCACTTCAGAGAGGCTTCAGGCAGCGCTTCTATGTGCTGTGGACAGGAACCCCCAAAACCCCTCCGGTCTGTGCAGCTCGGAGGCTGAGCAGTGTATGGGATTCCCTGGGCTCAGCTGAGCCTGCCTGCTCTGCTACAACCGCATATCCTGCCCTGTTATCAGCAGCAACCTGATGCTGATGATCAAGAAATACTCAAGGCAGTTAAACATCCACCATCTGTGGAGAGCTGCAGGAAGATTTCATGACACTGAATGAGTGGGTGATATAACACAGTGTCAGTAAATGCATGGTAATGTATGGAAGAAAAGCAGCCCCGGATATACCAAACACAGCGACAGTTCTGCATTAGCTGTTTTAGCTCAAAACAGGCTCTTGGAGGCCTTGTGGAACCTCTTCTCAGCAGACAAGTGTATGTGGATTGCTAGGAAAGAGGAAAATAAAGCACCACTGTGCTGATGTATAGATCTGTGGTGTCTCTACCTGCTGGTTAGAGCATGTAGAGCTGGTCACTCTGCTCCAGACTGGTCTAGGACTTCAGCTGGGAGAGGGACTGGGACTAGTATCACTCTCCTTGTCAAGTTTTCATTTTCTGAGCACCTGCAGAGACACCGCAGAATCGTCCTTATGCCACATGCTGGCAGCTCCAGTTACAGGGTTTTCTATTCCCCAATCTGTGGGCACCAGCAGTGGGCAGACCCCCTGAAGCCATGCAAAATATTTAAGATTTGGCCCCACTTTGCAAAGCACAGTCACCCTGTTCTCCATGTTGCTGCATTTGCTCTAAACTTCAGCAGCCCATCCTGGCAGTGTTAGCTCTGACAAAGACTGTGCTGGGGGGGAAGCTGCAGGTTGTGTTTTTTGGTCGAATATTCATTGTGTGTCACCCATGGCATGTGAGTCACTTCCCAGTAGTCCACGCATGTGCTCTGGCTGGTAGCAAACAGCTCAGCCTGCCAGGCGCCTCTTCCCCTGCCCACAGACACCTGCTGCTGCCCACAGTCCAACACCAGCCTCGGCTGGGGTGCAGCTGGACACAAGAGCCCCTCGCTGCCAGACATCCCTCTCTGCTTGAGTCGGAGTAAATCAAGCAAATATCATAAGAATGGACTGTTTATATGGGGTTGTAGAGAAACAACTTCTTTTTAGAAGGTGTTTATGGAACAGCCAGGCATTGTGTTGGCAAAGCACCTGGAGAGAAGGAAGACAGATTATCCATGAAAAAATGAGAATTGCTAAAATTGTAACTATTATAAGTAATTCTGCATTGATTCCTCTTCCACAGAGAAGTTTCAAGGAGGAGAGGGATTACATTTCTGCATTAGTCACAGCATGGCCCTGCTTTTTGCTCTGTTTGCTCTTTGTAACAGGGAGGGTACCCACCTCATTCATTGTGAGAAGAACAATCAGGGCTGATGGATGCCCAAAACGTTTAGCAAAGCTGCTGCAATGACTGTACCTGGTGGAGAGCAATGATCAAAGCAGCACAGGGGCTACCATAAATCCACCTCCCAAAGGGATAAATGATGCTAGGAAGATAGAAGAGGGAGGAATAGCTGTCCTGTCTGGTGATACAGATTTTATGGGAAAACCTCCAGTCATAAGCCCTAGCAGAAAGCTATCATGGCTGTAAGTGTAAATAGCTTCTGGCAGCTCTGTAAATAAAAATGTCAATGCACTTCTTGCTATTATAATGATGCCTCTGTTAAAGCCTTTGCTAGCAGAGTATCACCATAAAATCCCCATGTCCAAGCAACAAATGTCAGCAGAAGTTCTCCACCAAGGGAGGGTGAATTTAGGAATGAGGTCCTGGCACCTCTGTGCCCTCTGCTCTGCTAAGGGATCATCAGGGAGAACAGCTGGAGATTCTGCTTAGATGTGAACCTTTTGTAGTTTACCTCCGGGAAAAAAAAAAACAAACTGGCAGCAGAGTTAAGAAGTTGACAGCAGGGGTTAAAATTCGGTAGACTCACTATTTTTCTCCCCTCTTCTTTCAAGTATTCTGCATAAAGTCTGAAGAAGTCCTTTGCTGAGCTGTAAGAGCACACCCAGCAAGCATGCGCACAGGGAGAGGGGAGGCTTCAATCCCTCGGTGAAATCTCTTCTCCAAATTGTGCCCAAGATCACATAGAAGGGGTGCTGCTGAAATGAAGAAACGCTCTGCTTGAAGTCCCGCGGAAGTCCAACAGCAAACCTGCGACTGGAGAAAGTACCCTGCCTGGCAGTGACCATGGGCAAGCCAAGAGTTTGTTATCCTGCCTCATTTTCCTGCACATCTACTCGAGGCAGCATGGCCAGCCTGTGAAATGTCTTCTGTCAAACATGAAATGAATCTTAAAATTGCTGAGCAGCAATGCAGCCAGCTACTTAATTTGTCAGGGTGACTCATGCACAGTGGTATTAAGACACAGGGATTATGTTCTGATTTAGTTCCCATGCTCTCCTACAGAAGCAGTTTCCTATAAGAGAGAAACCGGCAAGGCAGAGGTTTCCTTTACAACAGCAGCGGTTCTCTGGATCTAAATGAGATATCAACCTGTTGACAAAAGCTGAAGACTAAATCCCTGCCTTATCCACAGCTTGTAACTCACAGTATCTGCCTATGGCAGTTTTCCTTGTTTCAGTATTTGGTTTATAATAATACAAAGACCCTGCAACAACTGAGACTGTCAGATCCACAGCTGCCAGCCTGAGAAACTGCACTGGTCTTTCAGTATTGCCGTAGGAACATCAGCCCTTGTCTCTTGAGCCCTGATGCACAGATTTGGCACCGTTGTACCACTTATTTATTAAAATTGAAAAGCATCCAAAGAAAATGCAGTGTTTTATTATGGTTTGCGATGATGCAGGTGTTGTCTGCATGGTTGGGTGAGACAGACTGAGATGGAATCATGTGAGATGATACGAAATAGTGTGTGGAATCTGATGAGGAGAAAATGTAGCTCCTTAAAGCCTTCTTCCTCCAAATGGGTTCAGAAAACTGTGTTTCAAGAAGGGATGCAGCCCACACTCATGTCTTTGGGACTGGTAAGAGTGAGCAGAGAAGTGGTGCGAAGGGCAAGTGAACCCTGGAGTGGGAGAAGGGGATGTCAGGTGCTTCCTGCTGCAAATGACTTGGTTGTATTTTTAGCAGAATCGCTGAGGCCATGGGTGGCCACTATTCATGTAGCTGTAACAGTGGTGGTTTGGAGTTTGGCTTAGGAGAAGATTGACTTCTAGCTTCTACAAATGCATTTGTTTCTACTTCCACAAGACTTTTACAGCAGAGAAAATCTAGTGCGCTGCAGGGATGTACACATGCAAGGAGCTACAGTTGCTTTCTGCTTGCCTCAGCTCCTCCCAGCCTAGCTTCTACTCACACCCTCTGGTTTCCTGATGTTTAAATGCTCTGCAAAGTCTGCACAGGTTGGGGACAGCTGCATCCCGGTGAGCCTGGAGCAGATGGCTGCAGCCCCAGGCCCCGCTGGCTCTGCACAGGCTGGCAGGCAGGCAAGGAAACAAGGAGATGCCTTCCTTACTGAAACAGCGTGCCCGGCCCTCGCAGGGCCATGACGTTGTCAGCATTGGTTCATCCTTGGTGATCAACTGGCATCGGAAGCTCCCACTTCCCATGGAGTGCTGCAGACTGTGGATTTTTTGCTGAAAGGAAGGGTGAGCTCTGGTTTTGTTTATGTGTGGTGACGTTGCACCTACTGGTGATTCACCTCATACCTGGAGGGAGCCATTAAATGATTAGGAGAGGATTAGCAGCAGTAAAAGATCCTTGGCACACAGTGAGTAGCTCCCAGTTCTAGCTGTTAGGTGAGTGTGTGGCCAAAACATTAAAGATTTACTGCTCTCTTCCCTAAGCAGGGAGGTAGATTAGACCCATTACATTTCCCTGGTGTAAGGTTTGCCAAAATTTGAGTTTGAAAGTTCTGGAGCCAAAGCAGACAGGGCAGGAGCTGGATGTGGAGTATCTTTCCTCCTCTTACTGGGAGTGTGAGCAAATCCCCCCCCCCCCCCCCCC